AGGGGCTACACAAATCAATCAATAAAGGGGGAGGAGAATATATAAACTTGTTATGGAATGCTATGTATTGAGAGTTTCATTACCTTTACCTCTTGCCAAACCTTGGGTATTTATAGGTGGTATGAACCGCTGGATGTGGAACGCGTGTGTACATCTGACGGTATGAAGCGTTTGCTCATAGGCGTCAATCAGCTGCGCTTGTAGAGTGGGCGGATAGTTTGTTTCCCCCGAGTTGAATTGACATAAAGTTAATAAGTCACATCAAATAGCCTCATGGAGACGTCAAATCAATTTAAGCTTTAGGTGCAGGACAAATCTTAAATTGGCGGGGGATCTTCTAACCGAGGTCCACTTGATCTCGACCTCGGAGGTGAGATGCTTCGGCAGATCAATAGTAGGAATCGATATATCACTTCGGAGAAGTTTGGGGAGGGTCGTTTTCAGGTCGGAGTAAACGGTTCTACGTAGGGTCTACTTGATCTCGGCCTCGGTGGTGAGATGGCACTTCGGTATCGAGGCGCGAATAATCGAGGCGTAACAGAAGTGATTATATCATGCATTCAAATTATAGTCAAGGTAGAGATGGAATTCCTTTCGAATTCGTTGGTCTAAGCCATTTGGAGTGCTCCAATGACTTGACGAGATTGTTGTATCTTGGGAGATAATTGTCGGAAAATCGTTAACACCGATACGGGGTAAATTCATATTAAGGAAAGTGTGTCAGACATTTGCCTCGGCCGATCGCCATCACTTGCATCTAATTCTCCTTATTTCAAATTTTTTTTCGTCATATTTGATTTCAGAAATTAACTAATATTCTTTGATTTCATGTTAGGTTGAAATTCAAGAATGGAAATGGATGAATCCGTATTCATGTATTTGGAATCAGATTCAATAATTATTATTTATCATCTCAAATCTAAATTCGGTAAGTCGAGACTTTGATTCGAATTCGTGAATGTATAAGATACGTTCTGTAAATATAAAAAGCACAATATCGGCGTAATTTTTCAACATTAATTTTACACCTGTTTTAGTTCATTTAAATTAGTTGATTACAATAATTACAAAGATTCTTGTTCATAAAATTAGACAAAAGAAAACACGAACAAAAGAATGGAGAAAGAGCTGTATGTTAATTACTGGTTAAGATTCTGATTATAAGGAATTTACAACAATTTAAAAACTTTTGTAATACTGAAATAAAATTTACTAATATAATATAATAAAGATCAGTATGTCTTGTCGATCATGTTCCGTAAGTGTTTAATTTCAATTTTTGTCCGAAAAGTTTTATTTTCTATGTTATGTACTATCTTAAACTATGTAAAATGGAAATAATTTTCTAAAAACTGACTACATGTTTCTCTTCAATCTATAAATGTCTAGAAAAAAAATAGCAATTTACATATATTTCATTAATTTTTATTAAAATTTCATTTTCAAAGTGCTACTAAAGTGAAATATGTTGAGATTTTAAATGCCCGTTTTCTAAGGTTAAGACCAAACTAAAAGGTTGGGGACCTTCATTGCTATTTTTCTTTCCCAAATAAATGAATTCAAAATTTGAAAGTTTAGTCCGCGTGGAATTTCTTAAGCCGAGGCTCAAACAATTTCATGTTTTTATCCAATTAAGCGGCGTCGCGCAATTACTTTATTTTCCACTCATACCGTAGAATTGTACATAAAGGTTCCCACGACATAAGAACTCCATGAGCCACCTAATAAACGGGTCACAGGGCCTTCATTATCGTTGAGAAAATTCTCTCCTCTTTGAATTAGCGGGCAGTCGAATTCTCTCCAAGCCTAAAAATGGTAAGTTCTCACTCCACCCCATTGTTCAAGTTGTAACATAACTGTTGCACATTTACCTTTCAAATGACCGTGTTGCTCTTGCCATGAAGGCCTCCTGATGCTGCAAGGGTTAAAAGCAAGATGATTTATGCTAGCTCAAAAGACAGATTCAAGAGGGAGCTAGATGTAAGTCAAGTGGAGACTTAGAAGCAACTGATCCAACTGAAATGGATCTCAATGTTATTAAGAGCCGTGCCGGCTAAGTACGGGATTATTTAATCGCTTTACATGATTCGAGTTTCTACGGTTTGTGGGATGGTAAACATAAACTTAGCTATAGATATCTTTAATCATCAAGAAGTGCCTTGACATTATATTACTTCAAACGATGTTTATGTATGGCTGGTATATGGTATTATTTGTGATTTCACTTGTAGTTTGATATAAATGGATGATATGTAACAGCCCGAGGAATAAATATTATCCTTTTTTTTAAGACGACGAGGATAATTTATCCATGGAATCTTGTCTTTGAGTGCAAATTAGCAGTTACCATTTGAGTAGTTTGTACCCTTTCAGCAACTAGTTAAACAATTCCAGTAACTAGTTAATGGGATGCACCCTAATCGTTTTACGTTGCAAAAGAATAATATCTACATTTGGTGCGATGGATTAGGTTGTATAAAAAAAATTTAGTATAAAATTATAATGGATAGTAGTAAGATGGTATTTTGGTGGCTTAATGTAGATATTATTCTTTAATTTTTCATTCAAAATAGACCCATTTACACCATCGACAATATAATATATTACGGAAATTAGAGATGAGTTTAAGATGGATTAAAAAAGAGATAATAAGTGACATCTTTTTAAATGAAAATTTAGAAACTAATATCCACATTTATGCACCGCAATAACTCAGCCTTGTGATATTCATTATAATTGACATTAAATTCTTATTTGGTCTAATCCGACGCATCAAACGTCACCCCAGTGAGAAAATTTTCAAAAATTGAGAATTTAAATACACTGGCATCCTGCTCGTGCGTCATAAGCTCATGTCTATATTTTGTTAAAAATCAAATTTTTAGTAAATTTTGACATCATCAGATGTGATTGAAAAATTCACAACTAATAGTTTTCTCAATATTTAGCTACGGTAATGCTAGGGGTGTAAACGAGCCGGGCTGAATCGGCTCGCGAGCCTAAAGTTTCGGCTCGTGCTTGGCCCGGTTAAAATAGCCGAGCTTTTTTGCGGGCTCGAGCAGGGCCGAGCAAAAGCTCAACCAAAAAAAGGCTCGGCCCGAGCTTTTGCTCGGACTTTTTACGGGCCGAGCCAGGTGGCTCGTTTTCTCCACTAATTTTTTTTTTTTTTTTTTTTTTAAGATATTAGTCTTCTAATCTGCTGCCTTAAAAGGCAGCAGATTTATTGCCTTTAAAAGGCAGCAGTTTTGCTACCTTTTAAGGCTTGATTTGATTTTTTTTTTTTTTTTTTTAAATCTTGCGAGCTCACGGGTCGGCTCGGGCAAAGCCTGTGTCTCCAAAATGGGGCTCGGCCGGAGCTTACCCGAGCCCCGAGCTGAGCCGGCTCGGACTTTTTTCGAGCCGAGCCACGAACAGTCCGAACCGACGAGCCCAATTGCCATTCCTAGGTAAATGCTATGTAGCAGTGGTGGTACAACAATCCGTTATTTTGGGTTCTTTTCCGCTCGGTTTGTAAATTAAAACCATTCTACTAGGCGTCCCAGAACTCTGTTCAAAACTCTACCTGTCTTTAATCACACCAGGTGTTTGTCTGATTGCTTCAATGGCATTTTCATCTTGCCTGAAGTGCCATTCATGGACCCACCCTCGAAATCTAGAGCGCCCTTTCCCTCCCACTTCAAAACTCCTAAAAGTAACTTCATTCCCATTTTCTCAGCACCGCGAAAATCAATTCTGTTCACTCTCAGCTTCGACTTCCTCACTTCCGTCAACCATTTGGCTTTCTCCGGACTTCACTACTAAGCAACTGTTAGAAACCCTTCGTCGCGAAAACAATGAAAATTCAGCTTTTCAACTGTTTGAATGGGCATCAAAGCAGCCGAATTTCACACCCACTTTGCCTGTATATGAAGAAGTTCTTCGGAAGCTTGGAATTGCAGGGTCTTTTGATAGGATAGGGCGAATCTTGGACGATATGAAGCGTTCAGGAGTCGAAATTGTGGAAGGTACTTTTTTCATTTTGATTGATAGTTATGCGAAATTTGGGTTTTATGATGAAGCTGTAGGCGTTCTTGATATGATGGAGAATGAGTTTGGGGTGAAACCGGGAACTCACAGTTATAATTCGCTGTTGAATGTTCTTGTTAATGGAAACAAGTTGATACTAGTTGAAACCGTGCATTCTAGGATGTTGAATAAAGATGTGAAACCCGATGTTTCAACGTTTAATATATTAATAAAGGCCCTATGTAAAGCACATCAAATTAGGCCTGCAATTTTGATGATGGAGGAGATGCATGACTATGGTTTAGTGCCCGATGAGAAGACTTACACAACGATAATGCAGGGTTATATTGAGGAAGGAGATTTGGAAGGAGCACTGAGGGTTAGAGAACAAATGGTGGCAGTTCAATGCCCTTGGAGTAATGTGACGATAAATGTTTTGATTAATGGGTTTTGCAAAGAATGTAGGATCGAGAAGGCCTTGATTTTTGTTCAAGAAATGGCTAACGAGGGGTTTTGTCCAGACAAATTCACGTGTAATACTTTAATAAATGGTTTATGCAAAGTGGGGCATGTGAAGCATGCTCTAGAGATCTTGGATTTGATGCTTCAGGAGGGGTTTGATCCAGATGTGTTCGCCTACAACACGGTGATCTCTGGGCTTTGTAAGATTGGTGAAGTTAAAGAGGCAATGGAAGTTCTCAATCAGATGTTTTTGAAGGATTGTTCCCCAAACACCGTCACATACAACACCATAATCAGTACCTTGTGCAAAGAGAACCAAGTGCAAGAAGCTACTGAACTTGCACATATTCTGACAAGTAAAGGAATCCTGCCTGATGTATCTACATTTAATTCTCTTATACAAGGTCTCTGCTCAACCAGCAACTTCAGTATTGGAATTGAATTATTCAGAGAGATGAAAACCAAAGGGTGCCAACCGGATGAGTTCACATACAATATATTAATTGACTGCCTGTGCAGCAAAGGAAAGCTAGATCAAGCTCTGCAATTACTAAAAGACATGGAATCAAGTGGTTGTGCTAGAAATGTAATAACTTATAACACTCTGATTGATGGGTTCTGCAAAATAAAAAAACTCGAAGAAGCGGAGGAGATTTTTGATCAGATGGAATTGCAAGGGGTTTCACGAAATTTGGTCACTTATAATACTCTTATTGATGGTCTCTGTAAGAGCAACAGGGTGGAGGAAGCAGCTCAGCTCATGGATCAGATGATAATTGAAGGATTAAAACCAGATAAATTTACCTATAATTCCCTCCTTTCGCACTTTTGCAGGGCAGGAGATATTAAAAAAGCGGCAGACATTGTTCAAGCCATGACTTCAAATGGGTGTGAACCAGATGTTGTCACCTATGGGACCCTGATACAGGGTCTGTGTAAAGCCGGTAGAACTGAGGTTGCCAGTAGGCTCCTCAGAAGCATCCAGATGAAGGGAATGGTTTTGACCCCACAGGCTTATAATCCTGTAATTCAAGCTCTTTTTAAGCGGAAAAGAGGAAAAGAAGCCATGAGACTCTTCAGGGAAATGGAGGAAAAGAGTGATCCTCCTGATGCTGTCTCATACAAAATTGTTTTTCGAGGGCTTTGTTCTACCGGAGGTTCTATTAAAGAAGCTATTGATTTTTCCTTTGAGATGATAGAGAAAGGCTATATCCCAGAATTTTCTTCATTCTCTCTGTTGGCTGAAGGGCTTCGTGCTTTGAACATGGAGGAAGTTCTAATTAAACTTGTAGACCAGATAATGGCAAAAGCAAAGTTCTCAGAGAGTGAGGTGGCCATGGTAAGGGGTTTCCTCAAAATCCGTAAATTTCAAGATGCACTGGCCACTTTTGGCAGTGTATTGAATAGCCGAAAGCCCAGAAAAGGTTACTGGTGAAGATGGAGAACTTAATGCTATGATTAGGCAACAAGGGACAAGCTTCTAAGCATAATGTCATGCAAGTTATTGAACTTTGAGAACATTCTCGGGCGATTGGCTTGGCTTGCTGGAAGGGAGACAGAGAAAGGAAAATCTGTTCACAAATACGATATGGGATTGTCATATCCCATCCAAATTTGGGGTAATAGATGTATATGGACTTTAATTTTTTATGGTTCAGGAATTCTCTAGGGAGACTTATATGATGCACTCGACTATTTCCTTTTAGAATCTCTTTTATTATTTGACCAGCTTTATAAGGATGGTTATTATTGGTTTCAATGTTGCTTTTCTTCAATGCTCTACAAAAAAGTGGTTTCAGTTTATTTTCCTGAGCTAACATACAGAGAAATATCCATCATTTTCTAGAAGGTACCTCTCCTTTTCCGTTCATTGAAACTTTTATATTTTCCATTAATGAAATTGAATTACCTTTATGTGCAAACAGGCTCACCTATTTGTGTTGATTATCTTCTCAGGATACAAGTCGTATAATAATCATCAGATTAGAAAGGAAAACACTAAGATTTTGCTGCGTTCTTGCTGCGTTCTTTTTCTGCATGCCTGGGTTTTTTACAGATGTTTAAATTTACCTAGTATGCAGCTGGTTGACATGTTGCTGTTTTTACTATTCCATATAGGTTGAACATTGTACATTGATGGCTTCTATGCTTACTGTTTAATAATATTTCGTATGAAAAAAAAAAGGCTTTAGTTCATTAATCTTAAATCTGGTAGACTGTTATTGCTTTTCTTCTTGTTAAGATTTTTTATCTGCTGCTCGGTATAGATAGAAGGAATGGTGGAACTTTATTAACAAAGTGCAACTATAAAATGAGTCTAGATCTGTTGTCCTCAACTCCCGGCCCCCTTCTTAGTTCTCCAATTAAAAGATATCGCCTCTTGCAAAGTTTACACATAAGTAATCAGTGTTAACAAAAGGCAATTATCTGTTAAACATTGTTTATTGATGTGGAAATTTTGGGTGATATGTCGTCATTTAATTGGGGGAACAGATGAGGGAACGAGAATCGGAGTCTAGAGACAGTAGATCTGTACTCGTATAAAATAGTTTATTGTCCATTAGCCTTCTGAGACACAACTTGAATCTGTGGACACTTAAATCACATTTGGCACACCAAATTATGCTGTATAAAGTATTTAGTGTAAAATTATAATGGATCATATTAGATGGATGGTATTATAGTGGACTAAGGTGGATAGCATCCTAAACCCAACCTTCGTATTATGCTATACAACGATAGTGCAAAGATTATGTTTTGAATTGAAAATTATAGAACACTATCCACTTTAATCCATTGTAATTTGCTACTTTTTAATATCCATTCTAATTTTACTCTAAATTCCTCACACAGCATAATTCGGTGTGCCAAACATAGCCTTATTGTCTTTTAGTTAGTACTTTTGTTTCTTGAATTAGAGCATGTTTGGCTAAACAATTTGTTTTCTTGTTAGCCAGGGTCTCTTGCGTGGACTAAAATTTATAAGTCTAGTTTACAAGTCTGGTAAGTTGATATTTTTTAGCGTATCTAACTTGTAAACCGAGCTTATGAATTTTAATTCACACAATCTGATTTTGTGCTATCCCGATTTATAAATAAGCAACGCCTTTTACCAAATATGTTCATAGATTAACTTCCTGTGTCAGTACTCGCTATAAGCAACATGGCCATTAAAATTGAGTGTAATTAGGCTCCTACCCTTGTCACGGCTTCCAGGCATCATCGATTTCATATATATATATATATATATATATATATATATATTTCGTTTTCTTTTTGGGTTTTTTTTTTTGCTTTAATTTAAGAATAAAGGTATAAGAGCAATTCCAATAAACTCTTTAAATACAAAATACTTTCCATTTTAGAGAGTCAATGCTTAAAAATGAGTTTTAATAAACTCTCTATTTTAACTTTTTAGAATAGAAAGCGTGTTTGATTCTCCAAATTTATAGAGTCAAACTCACTCTCTATATTTAATATATAATAATTGTATTTAATACTTTACAAATTTTAATACTCTACAATTTAAAATTTTCAAATTACATTTGAATTGATTGATCATTAATTTATAAAAAAATTATATTTAAATAAAATATGTGGAGAAATTATTAAATGTTCATTGGAAAAAACAAAATAAAGAATCAAAATAGAAAACTTGTTGAAATGTATAAAAAAAATTACTCAATAAATTTAAAGATGTTCTCTATTATACATAAGATGTTCTTTATAAATAGAGAATTTTTCAGAGATGCTCTAATTGTCTTCCAAACAATAAATTAGACAAAAGCAGTCGATATTCGACTTGGATGTGAAAATTATAAGGTTAGAATAAATCTCTCCCAAAATGAAAAATTAGCAACCAATTTGATAGGCAATATTATTCTTTTCTTTTCTTTTTTACAATTATTTTTATTCTTATATTATTCGGTAAAAGACACTTACTTTGTTCTTTGACTAACAAAACATATATTATAAATATAATTAAAATTGACAAATTCTTAGCTAATGATAATTTTAAATTTATTGTATGTTTTTATTTCAATGGATTCAAAATCTTTAAAGTTTTCTTTAAATTGTATTCAAATTGTTTGTCGTCTCGAAACAATTGAGAATAAACCTCCGTTTGATTCCCATTAAATTCAATTACATTATATTACATATTTCTCTCTCCTATTTTCAACCACACAATCTTCCATAAAATAATATTACCCGTAAATAAAAAAAAATTTCTTTTTTTTCAATCACTCATTTTTCTAAAAACTACTATTTTCCTCATTTTCATTTTCAAATAATGAGAGTCAAACGGGGGTTTAAATGAAAGTTAATCTAACATAGTATATTACTATTTCACGGTGCTCCTTTTTGCGCTAGAAAAAAAAAATGTCCCTTGAAATTTGGTATCAACACAGGAGATATAATGATGGATAGACAACTTGCAGTCATAGCTGGGACTTGGCCTTGTGGGTGTCTCTTTGACTCATTCTCAAATTCAAGGAATTGTTTGAGTCCTATTTTTTTAGATAATAGATTTTTTAATAGTAAATTTTTTTTTTTTTTAAAGAATGTGTGATTAAAAAACTGAAAAAATTTGAATTCATTTGTAAAATTTGTTATTTAAAGAATGTATAGTTAAAAGTAAGTTGTTATTATTATTATTATTATTATTATATTATAAAAAAACGTGACTCAAAAACACGGCCAAATTTTGTACATTACAGAATGTGTTTCATATTATTTTTTGTGAAAAATAGAGTATATTTCCATAGGCCACAGCTCTACGATTTATAACTGAACCCCCGAACCGGATTTCAGCCATACGCCCACGCAATTCTCCATTTCTCAGGTCTTAGGGTAAAGTAGCATCAGTCGCAGAAATTAGTTCATTCCTGGTATGTATGTATATGTGTATATACACAGCACTCACCCCAAAATCCCATTTCCTACTAGCAATTTCAATCAAGCTCCAAGTTTAGTTTAATGTTTGTTATATAAACTCACAATTCATCATTTTATCTGTTTGATTGGGATTCTGTCTTCTATCCTTTCCTCTGCATGTACGTATATGAGTAGCGGGTATGTAGATCAGTGTGAAATTCGAATTTTTTAATCGTTGTTTCCATTATGTTAGTGTTAGTGTCTGTTAAATCTTGATAAGTTGAGTGGATTTGTAACTCTGTCAAATTTTTTTATTTGTTTTTTCCCTAGAGGATAAGGGGCATGACTTTTAATTGCTTATGTTTTGCCTTAGGGTTAGCAGAAGGGAGGCGTGCCTGTTTTGTTTTGATTAAAATCTGATTTTAATTTTAGTCATAGTCAAACAATCAATATTAACCTCATTTTCCGTGGGACCCGCAACTTTTCAACCACACATTTCAAAAACTTTCGTCACAATCTACTGAAAAGTCTAATTTTAATTCCTACCAAACACACTTACTCGGAATTGATCTCCTATGCACAGTGCTTAGCACTAGATGACGTGTCACACATGGTGTAATGAGTTTTGTATCCAACCATTATTCTGTAGTGTTTCTGGATTCACAGTCCATGTGAAGTTGTGATATTTTCCTTTATTGATTTTACTTCTTAATTTTGAAATTTGGTCATCTGATAGGGAATTTGAGAAGATAAGGAAAATATGCGAAATATGGGCCAAAAGTATATGTTTTTCCTAGTGATCTTGTTTGTTTGAATAAGTTTTCCCTGACTATGTGTGGAAAGTTTGAAAAGCTTTTTTGGTTGGGTTGTTTATGGGTGAATTTTTCAAGAATTAGTTGTATTGGCTGTAGTGAGCTGTTAATTCTAACCGAAAACATAAATTAAGAATTACTTAATACAAAAATTTTGGAGGTCTCGTCATCTCGAATTTGCAACAAGTTACAAATGGTGTAGGCATTTGGGTGCATCTCTGACCTCTGTCATTGATCATGAATTTTCAATCGCATTTTTATTCATCTCTATCAAGTTAAATTTTGTTGTTTTCCATAATTTTTATAGTTCATGGTTTGAAGAAAATTCATGCATATAAGTGAATCCATCCATATTTTACTCTTGTTTCACCGATTGCTACTTCTCCAATGTTCACATTTTCTCTATATTGCTTCACCAACATATATGTTTATTGTGCTTGTCTTCCCAATCATTTTTCTTGCTACAATGTGAGTCTATATTATTGACCAAATTTCTGATATTTTTCATACTTTGGGCAGCTGAAATATCTTGTGATAGATATTTGAGATGGCGACTTTTGCCAGACCTGAGAATGCTTTGAAGAGAGCTGAAGGTGATTGACAAATAAATTCTTACGTATATTTCCTTTTTTGTCATATCACTCCCAGTGCAATATGTGGTCACCTTTTTTCTCTTGAGAATTCTTATTCCGTGTGCACATTTTTCTTCTTAATATGTATGCTTCAAAAACTTTAAACTGGTGATAACTCTAATTATGTTACATATTGTAAAGATTAATCTGCAACATATTCCGCAAGATTGAATATCTATGCCAAATATGTATTGATAAAAGAACGCTTCATTTTGAAGTTGTGGATACAAGTATCCACGTCTATATGTGTTGGGCTGTCGGTAAATAAAGTTAAATAATATATGTAGCCTTTGGTTCCTTATGAAATAATTTTTGTGGCAAGTGGGTATGCCTCATTTTTATTTTTAGTTTTTCCACTTTGCCCTCCGGGAGTGGGTGGGTTTTGTACTAGGTAGCTTGCATTTTGGACTAGCAAAAAGGTCCTCTTGCACGGTTGATTCTGCCTGGTTATGTTTTATGTTTTATATAAATATATCATCTTTTTACCTTTCACATTCTTGATATCTATGGTGGAGATCATATTAATGCGTTAATGCAGAGTTGATTAATGTTGGACAAAAGCAAGAGGCCCTTGAAGCTCTTCATAGTTTTATTACCTCAAGGAGGTACAGAGCATGGACAAAGACGCACGAGAAGATACTGTTCAAGTATGTGGACCTATGTGTTGACTTGAGAAGGGGAAGGCATGCTAAGGATGGTCTTATTCAGTATCGTAGTATCTGCCAACAAGTTAACATCAATTCCCTGGAGGAGGTGATAAAACATTTCATGCAGTTGGCCACTGAAAGAGCTGAGCTTGCACGTAGTCAGGCACAGGCCTTAGAAGAAGCTCTGGATGTGGATGACTTAGAAGCTGATAAGAGACCTGAAGATCTTATGTTGAGTTATGTTAGTGGGGAGAAAGGAAAAGACAGATCTGACCGCGAGCTCGTCACGCCATGGTTTAAGTTTTTGTGGGAGACATACCGAAGCGTACTGGAAATTTTGCGCAACAACTCAAGACTAGAGGCTCTGTATGCTGTGAGCCTTTTTTGCTTTTCCTTTTAGTACAAAATTTAACTTTTGGCACACATCCAAAATTTAAAACCTACAACTGGGACTTCTCATTGTTACACTGTAGCATTCAGGAATTCCTGAAGCTAGTTTTCCAGCATCATATGGCTATTAAATGGTTTTAGTAATTTGATAATGTTAAATACAAAAATTAACAGCATACCATGAGTTGCATTTGGACTCACAAAGTGTGTGTACTCAATTTAAAGTGTAATGTGTGCAGTTTTCAGTGATATAACCATGAGCATGTTGTAATTTCTCTATGCAATCTTCTGTCATTTGATTTTTCATAGTTTTACTGCAATGATATATCTGGATGTTTTTAATAGTTTTATGTAATTTCATTATTACGTTTGGTTCAAACAACGATTTTCTGAGCCTATTCTTTAAATATATAGATGACTGCACACCGTGCCTTCCAGTTCTGTAAGCAATACAAACGAACTACAGAATTTCGGCGCTTGTGTGAAATCATCAGGAATCATCTTGCAAATCTTAACAAGTACAGAGATCAGAGAGATAGGCCTGATCTTGCTGCTCCAGAAAGCCTGCAGTTATATCTGGATACCAGATTTGAGCAACTGAAAATTGCTACTGAACTTGAACTTTGGCAGGTATGTTTGTTATCTGTTTTGCATGCATGCTTATAGAAATATATCTGTTACTAATGTTTTATTAGCTAAAACTTACTTTTGTCTAAGATTTAATGCCTTGAATTTTTTTATAAACTGCAGGAAGCGTTTCGTTCTATTGAAGATATACATGGATTGATGTGCATGGTTAAGAAAACACCCAAACCTTCCTTGATGGTGGTTTATTATGCCAAGCAATCAGAAATATTCTGGATATCTTCAAACCATATTTATCATGCTTATTGCTGGCTTAAGCTTTTCTCACTTCAGAAAAGCTTCAATAAGAACTTAAGCCAGAAGGATTTGCAGCTGATAGCATCATCGGTTGTTTTAGCTGCTCTTTCAGTGCCTCCTTTTGATCAATCATATGGCGCGTCCCATATGGAGCTTGAAAATGAAAAAGAGCGGCGTTTGAGGGTAGCCAGCCTTATTGCATTTGATGTTGAACCCAAACCTGAGAACAGAGAAGTGGTAATTTGAACTTACGGCTTAAATTCTGACTGCATTCTATCAGTTTATTTGTTAACTGATCACTTCTATATATTTCATTTCAGCTTTCAAGGGCATCACTTTTCTCAGAATTGGTAAGCTTTTACATCAGTTGATTTTTGACTCTTGGAATGCTGTTTCATTTTCAATCTCTGTAATCTCGCTTTTCATACTTAATACTGTATCTTCAAGTCTAGATGGGATGTCCTGTCCTGCCTTTTGAGTTTCCGGTTCTTTTTTGATTGCAAGGAGTCACCACACTTCTATCTTCTAATACTAATGAATTTGGCTTTGCTTCCTACGTTGATTATTCTTGCATTTGGTATTTTCTTGTAAGTTATTCCTTAATTATCTTTCTTTCTGCACTTGTTTTAGGCATCCAAAGGTGTAATGACGTGTGTTACTCAGGAAGTGAAAGATCTATATAACATTCTGGAACATGAGTTTCTCCCTTTAGACCTGGCTATTAAAGCACAGCCCTTGTTAACAAAAATATCAAAGCTAGGGGGTAAGCTTTCGTCTGCTTCTTCTGTTCCAGAAGTGCGATTGTCTTCTTCTGTTCCAGAAGTGCGATTGTCTCAATATGTTCCTGCTCTGGAAAAGCTTGCTAATTTGAGGCTGCTGCAGCAGGTGTGCTTAACTATGTGTTCTGTTGTTCTATATGCAATGCTTATGTCAAACATTTTCACTACGTGACATTGTGTTCCCACCTTTGTATCTCCAGGTTTCACAGGTGTACCAGACTATGAATATTGATAACTTATCTAGGATAATCCCTTTCTTTGATTTTTCTATTGTGGAGAAGATATCTGTGGATGCTGTTAAGCATAATTTTTTAACCATGAAAATGAACTATATGAAAGGCTCCATCATCTTTGGTAACAAGGTTAGTTCAACATCTTATTATTCGTTCTTCCTTTACCAGTTAATCTTTGCAAGTGACGGTGCTCAAAATTATTTTTGAACTTGGAAGCCATTATTTATTTAGCCCTTGTTTGATCCCATACATTTTTCCCTCTCTTCTTTTCAACCACACATTCTTCAATAAAATAATATTACACGCAAACCCAAAACGTTTCGTTATTTTTTAATCACATATTCTCCATTAATCTACTATTTCAAAATGCATTCTTAGCCAAAAATGGGGTTCAAACAAGCGCTTAGTAATTTCAGCGCCTATGGTAAAAAACTGCTGCCAGCATGCATGGCTTGACAGAATAATATCTTAGATTGGCACAAGCATTCACGAGTTAATCCATATCACTTTGCTTGCAACAGTTTTGAGAATAGTTAAAATCCATAGTAAGGTCACCTTCCTTTTACATTAATCAGAATTTTGTTAATGCATAGCAGCTAAGCATAAGAAATCTCTGTTCTTTTCATCCTGGTTGTTATTTTTCCTGCAACCAGATACATTATCATGCAGCACTAAAATGTGACTATTTTGACATTAGAATGTTGAATCAGAGGGTCTACGAGATCACCTGGCCACTTTTGCAGAGTCCGTTAGTAGGGCAAGGATCATGATCTACCCTCCTGTAAAAAGTACTTCAAAATTAGGGGAAACACTTTCAGATCTTGTGGAGGTTGTGGAAAAAGAACACAAGAGACTTCTTGCACGGAAGTCCATTATAGAAAAACGCAAAGAAGAGCAGGAACGCCAACATTTTGAGATGGTATGTTATATTTGACTTACGTGTCAGACGATGGCTTCTGGTCCATATTTATAATTTTTACCATGAAATGGATGGAATTTAGATTACAATATTTTAATTTCAATTCATAAGGAACGAGAGGAGGAGGCAAAGAGGCAAAAACTACAGAAGATTACTGAAGAGGCAGAACAGAGAAGGCTTGCCTCTGAGTTCGAACAAATGAAGAATCAAAGAATTCTAAGAGAAATAGAGGAGCGTGAACTGGAAGAAGCCCAAGCATTGTTGCTAGAAGCTGAAAAACGTCGCACGAAGAGAGGGAAGAAACCAGTTCTAGAAGGAGTGAGTTAAGACACTCGTAGTCCAATTCATTTTTGTTCTTTCATGAGACCTGGCAAATCTTAATAATTACTGTTACTTGGGTCCAGGAAAAAATAACTAAGCAGCATTTAATGGAACTAGCCCTGACCGAGCAACTAAGGGAGAGGCAAGAAATGGAGAAAAAAATACAGAAGCTTGCCAAAACATTGGATTATTTTGAGAGGGCAAAAAGAGATGAGGCAGCGCCACTTATTGAAGCAGCATATCAACTCCGTTTGGCAGAGGAGGAAGCTCTTCATGAACGTGAGCAAAAGGTTTGCATTAGATGTTTAGAGTCCTGAAACTTCATTTTGCTTCATTTATATTGTGTCTTTTTCAAAAGGTGATTATCTGTTCTACTACCCACGTTTTTCATCTGCAATGACTTGAAACTGAATTTACTCTGTATCTTTAGATGTGTGGTTTTGTCAATTGACTTGACTCTTTATGATATTTATACAGCTAGAGATTGAGCTAAGCAGACAACGACATGCTGGGGACCTGGAGGAGAAAAGGAGGCTATCCCGAATGTTGGAGAACAAGGTTTTTATCTATATTCTTTGATCTGTACAAGTGTAGTAAAAAGAACTTTATATTTTTGTTGCAAATCTCATCAAGGTGCTAGTGGCTAGATAGAATTATCAATTTTCTGGTTGTGGACCCAAAAGAATCTTTCATATTTTTTTGTCTTACCCTTGGGTTGATATAGATAAGAAGTGACCTGATCAATACTGGGCTCAGACTCTAGCAAAATCTCTTTGCAGCAGAAAGTTTAAAACATTAACCTTTTGTATATGTAATTGCGTAAGCTCCATCACTTTAATAGAATGTATTTGATCTTGCATTGCTGAATAGCTTGACAAACTCACAATGTTAACTTAATTCATAATTACCAAGCAACCTGAGAACAATTGAATTTGCTGCATTCAGGCTCTACCATTCATATGGACATGATGTTAAATTAGTCAATTATGCCTTGCCCAGTGTATCCAGGTTTTGGTACGGAGACACCCAATGCCCCCCAGGAAAAGGAGGGAGCAACATTTTGTAGCTGAAAATTGAATAACTGGTAGTTCTTAGTTTTACTATTGAGGACCCGATAATCTGATTTTCCTCTTGAATCTAAAATCGTTTGCTTTTGATTATGCACCCTTAATCTACTCACATGCTCTTTAACACCATCTTTCTTATAAATCTTAAAATAATAAGAGAACTACACAATTAGATTGGTGATAATAGTTGCACCTAGGAATTAGTGGACCCATATTCTTCAAGGTGAGGTGTCAAAATCTTTTATATAAAACTAGATGGAATTGGAATCTGCTAACTTTGAGGTCTCTCTCTGTCATAGAGGGGTATGTGTGTGGAGCGCACGTGCATGAGCTCTCATGTTTACTGGGGTTAATATTTTAAGCTTTCATTTCTTTTGCACATTATTTAATGATCTGGGTTTTTGAGTGGAGTAGGATTTGACAATAAATTTAACTTCTAAAGATATTTATGCAGAGATTATTCCAAGCAAGTGTTGTTAGTCGTAGGGAAACTGAATTCAACAGAATTCAGTCGGAGAGAGAAGAGAGAATCAACCAAATCATCCAGTCAAGAAAGCAGGAGAGGGAGGCTAAGAGGAAAATGATATATTATCTGAGGTCCGAGGAGGAAAGACAAAAAAGACTGCTTGAAGAGGAGGAAGCGCGGAAGCGTGAAGGTACTTTTTCCTATTTTAATTTAGATCGTGCTTTAGTACTTGTTTTTCTAAGACATTCCTGCTGCCCATTTAATGCTAAAATAATCATTTGGTTTATTATCGATCACTGTAAACACATGCTATATGGGCTATGGCCCTTTTGTGAGAAAGAAGGAATACCTTTATATCTTGTGAAAGTAAAATTTGCAAGGATGTGACATGAACCTAAAGGGACATATTTCTATGCTAGCTATATGAACATATAGTCCCCTTTGTTACTGATGGTAGCTACAACCAAGTGTCGAATAGGTGAACATTTACTGTGCTCCTATATTGGTTGGCTGCTTTTTATATAATCTAGAGTCTGCTTCCTGTACATATTCAAGTTACTAGACAAACATAATACATTGGTATGCTTCCCTTGCCTTCTTATTGTTTCACCTTTCTATCACTTTAGGATATGTGTCTACTGCTGGATAATATTATATGAAGAGAGGTGGAATCTATATGGGGGAGTGTGTGTGTCCAAAAGAAAGAAGCAGCGTTAGTGATGGCAAATATAGGATGAGCAAGAGTGGCCAGACTACGACACCACTTTTTCTTTCTATTCTTCGTTCCACCTTCCCTCCTTTTGACCAATGCTTGAATTAGTTAGGGATTATAGGAGCCATTTAGTTAACTTCTATGCCCCTGTTTGGTTTAAATAAAATCAGATTCTTAGTAGATTTTGATAAAAGTTGATGGAATATGTGGTTGAAAAGTCGTGGTGGGTCTTATGAGATGTATAATTAAGAGGGTGTTTGGGAGCCTTTTTTTGTAAAAATGCATTTTGGAATAGTAAATTGATGGGAAATGTGTGGTTGAAAAATAAGGAAAAGTTTTTGATTTACGTGTAATATTATTTTAATGAAGAATGTATGGTTGAAAAGAAGAGAGAGAGAAATGCATTTTGAAAAAAATGGATATCAAATGGGGCCTAAAATTATCTGTTACTACGACTTAGATTTTAATCCAATTTTTTAGCTGAACCAAACAATGGCTATATGTTGGAGGTGACAGTTTTCCTTGGCGAAAAGGTTTGCTGTTATCCAGATGTAGACCCAAAGCTAATAAATGTCAAAGTTTCAGCTAGCATTTTGTATCTACTGTGTCTATCAATGTTTTTACCATCTGTTACATTTTCGATAAATAATGTAATACATATCTTCAAATTATTGGACTGCGCAGAGATGGAAAGAAAGAAAAAAGAGGAAGCTGAACGAAAAGCCAAATTGGACGAGATTGCTGAAAAGCAAAGGCAAAGAGAGCGGGAACTGGAGGAAAAAGAAAGACAGCGTAGAGAGGAACTCTTGGGGAGATCAAATGCTGTGCCTGCAAGGCACACTGTGCCTTCTACTATGGCACATCCAGCAGAGGCAGCACCTGTGGCGCCAGCTTCTGCTGCGGCATCACCAGCGAAGTACGTGCCCAGGTTCAAAAGGACGTCTGCTGAGGCTGGGGTCCCGGCTCCACCTCCTGAAACTGATAAATGGACCAGCGGCCGCAGTTCAGACGATCAAACATCTCAACAAAATGACAGGTGGAGGGATGATCGTAGATCTGCCTTTGGTGGTGGTGGTGGTGGTGGCCCGAGGTCCACTTGGTCATCTAGAAATCGTGGGTGAATGAGTTTGTGATTTAGGGCTCTTATACAATTAATATTTTTCAGCATTCGAGTGCTGTTTGATGTTCTGGGTTGCGTCATCCTACTTCCTGTCTTGTGTGTTGGGTTATTTCCTAAATTTTGAATTTTGGGTTAGTGCTTGAAATTTTGCTAAGGCCTTTTCGCCTTCTGGATACTCAGATGTCTGAGAAACAAGTGTCATTTTGGTTATTTCCGTATGGCCGGGTGTTCTGAGAAAACTAGGATTTTTCCTTGTATCTATTTGGTTTACAATTTCGACTAGTTCCATAATTAAGTTACTAATGCTTGATTTGTTTCCTATGCTTCTGTGAAGTTAATTCTTACAAGCACTTTCGACTATAACTGGAACTAATAGGAAAAAAAAACATTCACGTCTTTACAGAAGGGAGCTTATTTTGGTCGTGAGATTTTGAATTTACGGTTGCTTTTATGGTTCGTCGGGGAATTATTGCTCTGATTATTGAAACTGGACGTTGGCTGTTCATCTGTCCATGAGAGTTGAATTTGAATAACAATAACTTTCGCAGACAAGCAAAAGTAGATTGGTACAAATTTGTCTGCAAGTCTTTAGGATTGAACATAGACATCTGTTTTTATGGTAATGCAAACTCTCTACATCGTTATATATTCTGAGTTCTTGGCATGAAAGAAGCATTTGGAAGTAAATAACTTCAGGTGGTTTGAGCTGCGTCGATCAATTTATTGCTGAAATCCCAGAGTTTCTTCGCTAAAGCTTCATCTGTTGCCAACCTGCTTGGCTTAAACTCGTTGCAGTCCACGAAATACTTTCCCGATACACCTTTCAACTTAGGGTGAAGTGCAACATAGCAAGTCGTGGCCGCCCCCTAAAGAATGCAAACATTAGAAGATTGTCAATGCGCTAAAATGCAATAACGAAACATCTAATATTGCGTCAAATCTTTAACACGACAGACTATAAGATAACAAACGGAATTCAAATAGCCAACCTAAAAATCAGTTATACTACAGTTTTTGATTTACCTGAGGGACGTTCTTCCACAGGATACATGTGAAGAACTTCAAAATTCCTGTGAAGAAATCTTAATTATAATAAATAAAGAAGAAAAGAAAAGATGATATTAATTCTTTTGTGTTTCGGATTTTTGAAACTTACTCATCGAGATAGCAGAATATTTGAAGAGGTTCGTCATTATCAACCCTGGATGCACCGAGTTGACTGTAATATTTGCTCCCTCAGCCTGATTCCAAATACACATGACAAAGATTGTATTTATCACACTGAAAGAACTAAATTAAAATTAAAACATAAATGGAATCATCATAAAATAACTTGTTTTACAACGTCAAGATTTAATATGTATATTTTGTTTTCTCCATGCATGAAATGCAATGAATGGTAAAAAGAAAGAAAGCAATGGTGTACGGTGGATCACACCCTCTACTTGGTGCAAATTGATTGGTCTTGAGAATATGAAGTGGATTGTGCTAGTTATGGAGTGATATGGACCATAGTCAATTATCCTATACTAGTGTTGTCACTTTCTAGAGATCATAGTACTATATTTGAGTTTTGAATTCAAATGAATTGGCTCTATAATTATAAGACTTCTTCATTTCTCTCATTTTTGGACTTGGCATAACATTGGAGAGAAATAATAGAGAGGTAACCAAGTGGGAGCATTCTACATCTCTGGCGTAATTCTTGGTGGCTTCCGGTGGATCTTTTCTTGGTATATCCATTGCCATTCCCGTGAACGATGGTATATGATCCGGTATGGCACAAATCTAAGCTCAACATCATAGAAAACTCTATTGGTGGTGTAGAAGAAGTTTTGGGTCGTTTGGTTCGGTTTTACATTTAAAGAGTTTATATTTTCCACATTGTAGCTATAATAATCATTTTTATACTACACTTTAAACTCTACAAATGATATCAGAGCATAGGCTAGTAGTAAAAAGTGTTGAAACAACCTGAAAATCGGATTGGAAGTCGAAGGGGTTCAGTTTTGTTCGAAAACAAGTTTAACAGAATTTTTAAACCCATTTTCTGAAAAACTACACACTTGGTGGACGAATGGAGACCATCAATAGACTCCAAATGTTAAGCAGAATATTCTGGTGCAACGCGTGTGATACACGTGCTGACGGTGGATGCGGCGCATGAGACCACGCATAAAGGACACGTGAAGCACATGCGGGTGCGTAGAGGTGATTCAGCCGGAGGTCAAAAAAGACAGATTGTTCATTGATGAACTTCTGACCATCTGGTGTGTTGGATTTTAGTTTGGGGCACTGTGGAAGCAGATACAGTCTCGGGCAGAAAAGTGGAAATGGAGAAACTTTTTTGTTGGCGGCTCGATGGTGTTTCCTGGTGTTGCAGCAGCTGTTGGATGATTTAGGGCAGTTTGTGGAGGCCCTAGATTGATAAAGACTTGTATCTCTCCTTAAAATACAAACCAACAGATTGGTTCACTCGGTTTGCGCGCTCCAACACCCTATCAAATTTACAATTGAAATATTGGGTTATTTGTTGCATATTGTTATTCGACTCTTGTGATATTGGTTATGTGTTACCTGTTATGATATCATCGTTTATGTCATCTTAGAAAGTAATTTATACATAAATTGGTTTGAGCTTGAATTTGTGTGTGGGTAAATTGGCTAAGTAAAACCTTTTCCAAAAACATTATTTTGCTACCATGACCTCTCGAGTTGAATTGCCACAATTCAACGGTAAAGGAGATTATTCCATTTGGAAGCAAAAAAATGAAAACTATTTTAATTCAACAAAAAGTTTCTAAAGCTCTTGACGACTCAAAAAAATATCCCGATGCATTAAAAGCTAAACCAGATGAAATTATTTAAATGAATGAAATTGCACATAGTTTAATTATATTGCATTTATTTGATGATGTGTTAGGATAAGTTGAACAACATAAGACTGTCAAAGAGTTGTGGGAAGCACTTGACAAGCTATCTTTGAAAAAATCTCTTCCAAACAAAATACATTTGCTTCAAAAGTTGTTCAGTTTTAAGCTGGGCCCGAAAAAAGATCTTGAATCCAACTTGAGTGACTTTAACAGACTCGTCAAGTGTTTGGCCCACAATGATAAGAAATTTGATGATGAGTGTCTAGCGGTTATACTTTTAAATGCTACGCTCGAATCTTATAGAGATGTTAAGAATGCAATCACGTATGCTAGGGATACTTTGACCCAAAATATTGTGACCGATGCTTTGAGGGCTAGGGAGCTAGAGCTTAAGAAAGAGTCAAGGGGTAGCTCAAGAGAAGAGAGTTTGTTTGTTAGATGGAGAAATGAGACGAGGGAGAATCATTTTCAAAGTAAAAAGGGCAGAGGAAAATCGAAGGGTGGGTCTAAGTCTAGAGATAAGAGTGGTAAGAAATGCTTCCATTGTGGCAAGTTAGGACATTTCAAGAAAGACTATAATGATCTTAAGAAGAAACAGAGACCACAACACAGTGATGATTGGAACTTAGTTGCTGCAAGTGATTCCCTCGATTACCTACATGTTATGATCGTGTCAGGAGATTTTGACACCGATGTAGATGGTGCTCGTGATATCATACATGTCATGAATGTTTCTAATATTGATTTCGACACTGAGTGGGTATTAGAGCCAGCTGCCACTGTTCATATGTATCCTGTTAAATCTTGGTTCTATAACTATAGAGATGTGAATCCTAGAAAAGTGTACTTAGGGGATGATCATACACACAATGTAGAAGGAGTAGATGATATTGGTATTAGGATGCATGATGACATTATCAGACCCCTCAGAGGTGTTAGGTATGTCCCAGGCTTGGAAAGGAATCTTATTTCCTTAGGCACTCTAGAAGAAGAAGGTCATGAGTTCAGATCTCATGCTGGTATTTTAAAGATTTGTAAAGGATCTCTAGTGGTTATGAAAGGTCTCAAGAGGAATGGGTTATATGTCCTTCAAGGTAAAACCTTAGTTAGCAAAGAGTCGGCATTATCTTTAGTTTGTGAAGATAAATCAGATTATTGGCATAAGAGGATGGGAAACATTGGGAACAAAGGATTGAAATACCTTAGTGACCAAAATTTACTTGGTAAGGATAGTGTTACACCTTTAAGTTTTTGTGAGAGGTGTGTTCTATGAAAGTCACACAGAGTTAGTTTTGGGATAGGTGAACACAACACTAAGAGACCATTGGACTACATTCATCCAGATTTGTGGGGTCCTGAAAAACATCCTACACATGGAGGGAATATATTTTTTCCATCCATTGTTGATGATCACTCGAGGAAAGTTTGGGAGTATTTCCTTAAATCCAAATCTGAAAATTTTAGTAAGTTTAAGTCTTGACTTGCCTTAGTTGAAAATCAAATGGGAAAGGGTGTGAAAACTCTTAAGACAAATAATGGTTTAGAGTTTTGCAACTTCGAATTTGATAGTTTCTGTAAGGGAAAAGATATAATGAGGCACAGGACTGTAAGACATACCCCTCAACAAACTGGGGTGGCAGAGAGAATGAATCGGACTTTAATGGAGAAAGTCAGATGTATGATGATTAATTATGGGTTGTCTAAATGTTTCTGGGGCGAAGCCGTGTATATTGCTGCCTATTTGATAAATAGGTCACCTTCTAGTTTTGTTAACTTCAAGACTCCTCAAGAGTTGTGGTCTGGAAAGCCCCCATATTTGTCACATATTAGAGTGTTTGGTTGTACTATTTATGCACATCAGGTTGAGGGCAAATTGGACCTTAGGGTTACTAAGTGTGTCATGTTAGGTTATCTAGAGAGAGTAAAAGGATATAGACTATGGGTTTTAGGTGTAAAGGGCATTAAGATTATTAACAGTAGAGATGTAAAGTTCAATGAACTTGATATGCCTTGTCTTAAAAACATAGTAAGTCAGAACAAATAAACTGAGGAAGGAGAATCTTCTACTGTAAAGATGATGGAATTTGAGGTAAAGAGATTAGGTGATAATCCAGAGGATAGTGAAATCCAACCTCAAGAAGAATCTGATCAAGAAGCAGTGATAGAACATCCTGAACTTGAAATTCCTAAAACTGTTGTCCCTAATCAAGAACATCTACAGGTACTAATTTGAATGGTTACCAATTAGTTAGGGATAGAGAGAGAAGACAAATGAAACCCAATTTGAAATACATCTCTTCAAATTTGATGAAATTTGTCCCAGTTTCAGGTAAAGCCTTGGAGTCAGTTGAACCGGCTTCATTTGAGGAAGCGATTAACTATAAAAATTCTAAAAGTTGGAAAAAAGGCTATGAGAGAAGAAATCCAGTC